CAACTCACAACTCATTGCATTTTAAATTTTTTTTTTAAAATATATTAATTTTATTTTTTTTTTTTTTTTTTTTTTTTTTTTTTTTTTTTTTTTTTTTTTTTTTTTTTTTTTTTTTTTTTTTTTTTTTTTTTTTTTTTGTACTGGGGATTGAACTCAGCCTTGCACTTGCAAGGCAGGCAGTGGAATCACTAAGCTAAATCCCCGGCCCTTGAGTTTTTTTTAATATTCTAGATAGTAGTCCTTGTCTAACAGCTGGCAAATTTCTTCTCCTGTTCTGTAGGTTGTCTCTTCATTCTGTTGGTTGTTTCTTTTGCTGTGCAGCAGCTTTTTAATATGATCCCATCGGTTAATTCTTGGTACTATTTCCTATGCAACCAGGGTTCTGTTCAGAAAGTCTTGCTTATGCCTCTGATTTTGAGAGCTTTACCTCTTTTAACTTCTAGCAAATTAAGTATTTTTGTTTTCACATTTAGGTCTTTGATCTATTCTGATCTTAGTCTAGACTCAGCCTTTGGCCTGTGAGCAGCCAGTTTCCCCAGCACCATCTATCGTAGACATTATCTTTCCTACTGTGTGTGGCTTTGACTCCTTCTATACCCACAGGATGGAGAAGAAGGGTGAGGCCCAAGACAGGAGGCTCTGTAGAGAGCTGTGTGATTTGTCTGAGTGTACTAAGGGAGACCCAATTGTACAAAATGGACAGCGGTAGCCATACATTTGGTGACTCATTTTGAAATGATTTAAATCTATGTTTTACCATAAAGTTACTCACGTTTGTTCAATTCAAATGTATATAAGGTGTCTTTGGCTGAAACTGGTCCAGTGACTATTTTATATAATACAGTTCATACAAGTTGATAATATATCTGCAACATGAAATGTTGGAGTAATGCACATGTCCACAAGTGTATGAACAAATTTGAATTTAAATACTTTAATCATGCTTGATGTCGTTCTTTCAGTATTGGTTGAGATGCTGAGAAGTATGGGTTCCTCTAGTTTGGAAATTTTGCTCTTTGCTGTTCAGCTTGTCCAAGAACCTGTTCATCTTTAACATTTTCTTAACTAGGTAATTGGAAACGCAATTCTGGCCTATATGAGTAATGAACGAATGAACTGGGTGCGGGAGTGGCCCGGTCAGGCTGTTCTTTGTGTATCCCAGACCTTCTGGACAAAAGAAGTACAAACAGCCATCATGATGGGGCTAGAGGTAAGCACTTGGTGCCTCGTGTTTCAGCCACTTTTCTAACATTACGTTGTGAGATTATACTTATTTGATAACACCAGACTAGGAAAGTCTACTCCAAAACCCCTTGGTGCTCCAAGCATCAAATTACAGATTTTAAATAAAATTTCCAATCACAAATATGTAGGAGAACTCATGCAAATGATTGTCTAAAATTTATGTCTGAACCTCTAGTTTGCTCGCATTGTGTAAAAGTGATAAAATGCTGACTCTCAATCTTGTTATTTTACACATTTTTGTGCCTTTAAAAAGTAGAGGGCAGTGGACTAAGAAATTTCCTAAGATAAGAAAGATTAGGGGAGTATGGAGGAATATAGTTCTCTGTTTTGCCTGGAAAAAAACCTACCCTGTATACTCAAGAGACCAGCTGATTTACTCTTATTTCAATTTTTAATACATTTATTTTTGAGTACATGTTTTGAATGATAACATTAAATATTTCAATGGTTTGACATTCTTGGATGTGTTAATTTCATATTAATTAGATCAGTTAGATCATTAATTAAAAAACAAAATGATAATACAAGTCTTAAGATAGGACTTTGAGTCCAGTTTTCAGTTGACTGATGGGTCAACTGGAATCTAGCGATTTTAGATCTTTAGTTTAAAACCATGACACTGGCTGAATGTGGTAGCACACGCCTGTAATCCCAGCTCTTGGGAAGCTGAGGCAGGAGGATCATCAGGCATTCGAGACCAGCCTGCCCTACATAGTGAATTCAAGGCCAGCCTTGAGACCCCATCTCAACCCCCACAAACGACAGTAGTTTTATTCATTGCACAGATTCTTTTCTAAAATAACAACTCACCCTCATGAGGGGGAACTAATCCAGAGCCACTAGACCTGCGTTAATCCCTTCTGAGGACGATGCCCCTGGTCTGATTATTTTTCTCAAGGACCCACTTGTCAAAGGTCCACCATCTCAGCACTGCCACACTGGGGACCACACCTCCTGCATGGGCAGCTCTACCCACACCCTGGCAGCGTCTTGCTATTTTGAGTGGTATGAACCCCACTGAGAAGGTTCATAGAGGGTCCGCTAGGATCCAAGAAAGAGAAAAACAGACTCCAGTGCTCAGGCTTCATCACTGCCGTGTCTTGCTTTGCCATTTCTACTCTTCTGATCTCCAGTAGGCTTCTTTCTGTGAGAGGTGAAGCTTGCTAGCTTCCGAAGGACATTGAAGGTCCAGGAAGCCTGGTGGGAGCGCTTTCTTCTCTCCGTCCATAGCCACCCCAGGAAGAACCACAGTGAGCTCCAGTCGGCGCCCACATGCCTGTCCCATGTTCCAGGTGGGGGAATGTGATCGACAGCTCCAAACAGACCAGAGACCCGAGAAGGGCTGGAGATAGAAAAGGAGAGGGTGTTGGGTAGACACAAACTACTTTCTCTTGCCGCTCTGTCTTGCCACATTGGGCCCGCTCACCCAGCAGCTCTGGTAGTGAGGAAAATCGATTAGTTTTAAATCGTCATATAGAAGATTAAGATGAAAATGCAAAGAAGACCCTACCTGTGTGCTAATTCAAAATGATTCTGCTCACATTGGGAAATAATATCTTATTTTCTTTCAGGCTCTTGAGCAGTACTTGGAAAAATGTAACAAACAGATCGATGATATTGTCACTTTGGTCCGGGGCAAACTGTCCAAGCAGAATCGCGTTACTCTGGGAGCCCTCGTGGTGCTGGACGTCCACGCCAGAGACGTGCTGTCAACACTCGTCCAAAAGCGGGTCAGCCACGACTCTGACTTTGAATGGTTGAGTCAGCTTAGGTACTACTGGCAAGTAAGTTATACATGAATGTTATTACAAAGCAATTTCGGCCCATAGCTTTTTAATTTGTGCCTGCTTGCTCACATGGGAAATAGTATCAGTAATATAAGACTGTTTTGCTGATGGCCGGCTCAACCCACTAAGTGTTTCTCCAGTTTGAACATTAAGAAAGCCAATAACTATATCATCAATATCTATGTTTAGATCTGTGTCTGTATCCAAGTGTGGTGCTAATGTAAATACATATGTAGAAAGGTAAACATTATGACAGACTGTCAAAAATTACTAATTATTAGGTGAATCACTGTGCTTGCAATTTGAAAAATGCTCAGACTAGCCAATTTAAAATTTTTAGATTCCTGATGCATCTAAAGAATGTACACATCAAACTTTTAATTCTGATTTGGTCACTCAGGTTTCCTCTGATCAATAGAAGCTAGAAACATGATCTGTGTCTTTGTCACTGGGACAAAACTCCCAACACCCATGAATTAAAGGAGCTTTTTTTCCTCATTGAGTTTATTGGTACATTTTAGGTATGCAGTATGGTTACATTCATCATTGGGATCTTGTACCTCTACATGACAGGTCTTGGTTCTCATTTTTTCCCCTTGTCCCTGCCCTCCCCTCCCCCTTTACAAACACTTCATTTCCATTTTTTCATTTTCTCCTATTTTTTTCTTTTCCCTTATTACCTTTCCCCTACCCTTCCCACTTTCCCTACCCCTTTAGCCCCTTTCTTCCTATTTCCCACTGTCCGTTATATCATTAGGATCTTATGTACTAGTATAGTTTATTCACACCAGAGAAAGTGAAATAAATAAGTCACACATGTGTAAACACCGAATAGTTTCTCTGGTGTGAAAGGAGAAGTTCTTTATTCTTTCATTTTCAGTTTTTATTTTTAGGAGAGGTTTATTCGGGCTCACAGTTGTAGAGGTCTCAGCCTGCTGTTGGCTGGCTCAAATGCAGAGACGGGCTGGTGGAAGGGTCTGGATGGAGGACAGCGGACCGCTCCATGGCAGTCAGGAAGCAGCGAGAGAAGGGGGAGCCAGGGAGGGAGATGCAGTCCCTCGGGTCACGCTCCCAGCGAGCCCCTCCAGCCCGACCCCGCCTCCTAACAGCATATCCAGCTGCTGTCCTTACCGGGGGGCGAATCCACCCATCAGTGGGACGCCCCATGAGAATGGTGGGCGGGCGGGACTCTATTCTGTGAGAATCTGCAAGGACTTCCCGAGGGCACCTGGGTGAACGGCGGTGGCAGTGGTGGCTGGGAAGGCAGGAGGAGCAGGGGCAGTTGGTAAGGTGGGCGGCCCTGGCCTGCTGAGTGTGGGCAGAGTGAGCGGATGGCTGGAGGAGCAGGCTCAGAAGTTCTCGGGACGGAGTTACCGTGGAAGGTGTGGGAAGGAGGAGAGGAAAGATAAGAACCGGCATCCCGGGAAGCCGCTCGAGGGGCGGTGTGGGCAATAGTTAGGGACACAGATGGCAGAACCATTCCTTCCAATCCTAGACCCTCCCCTGGGCAGACGCATAAGCTTGGGTCGGTTCCCCCTCTATAAAATGGTGACGATGAAATACTCATTCTGCGTTGAAAAAAAAATGAAAATAAGAGATAAGGCACAAGTTCAGAAATGTGGTGTGGGAAAAATTGAAGCCACTGACTTCAGTGTGTCACCCATGGAAACCAGGACTCCAGGGAACCGCTTATTCAGCTCAATCAAATGACGTCTGAAAAGTGAATTTTAGAGCCATCTACATTATGGCTATTTGCTAATGAGCTTGTGATGGGATCGTGTTTAAAACTTTGTTGTCTAAACTAACTTCATTTTACCTGGTTTACCGTAGGAGAATCATTTAGAAACGAAGATGATCAATGCTGGTCTGAGATATGGGTATGAATATCTGGGAAATTCACCCAGGCTGGTTATTACCCCTCTCACGGATCGATGTTACAGGTAAACCCTTTAATGGAAGGATATACTGGAAATAATTTTCATCGCCCCGGTCCATGGGTTTATTTAAAAATTCCAAGTTATCTCCCCTATTGTAAACTTAGCCTGTGTTATTCCCATGAACCACTGTTGCTTCTGCTGTTCTCCATTCCTTGTTTCTTCCTGAAACTCTCTTGCTGCTTTTGGATCATTTGAGCAGTGTTACTTCTCCCCCTGAAACACTGAATGTCCTAGAGTTCTGCTGTCACGTGTGTTTTGTGTCATGCTTCGTATTTTCCTGAATGTTCTCATCCACTCTCAGGCTCAATGACCTACCTACCGAAGACCCTGAATCCGTACCTGTCTTGTGAGCTTTTGCTGTACAATGCCTACTGGGCAGCTCTGCTGATGATCTCCTAGGTTCTTACACTTCCATTTTTTTTTTTTTTCCAAAAGCAGCCTCCTGCATTAGCCCGGGGGCCTGAGTCACACCTGAGAACCAGGTGGTGAGAAGCCACCCACTCTGCTGTCTTTACCAAAAGTGAGCTTTAACCTTGGCTCCTCTTAGTTCTGTTTTAAATGAATGAAATTAATTTGCTTACTTAGGTTTAGTTTTTTTTTTTTTTTACTATTCTCTTTCTTTTATAAATTATACTTTTAGAGCAGCTTCAGATTTACAGAGAAATGATGCTGAAAGTATAGGGAATTCCTAAGTAAGAGCACCCCATGGTCCTGTCATTAACATCTTGTCTTATTGGGAGGGTTACATTTGCTACAACTACAACTGATAAGCTAATATTGACACATTGCTAATGAAAGTCCGTAATTTATATCAGAGTCCACTATGCTATGGGCTTCTGAGATTTGACACATGCACGATGTCATGTATTTTCGTTATAGTATCTTACAGAATGGTTTGTTTCCCTGCCTTACAAATGTTCTGCGTACTACACTTTCATCTCTTCTCCCTTCCTTCTGAATCTTCGCTACCCATAGTTTTTGTCCCTGTAGTTTTGTCTTTTTCCTAATGTCCTAGTCTTGAAATCTACATTGTGTCTTCTTTCACTTATCCGTGTGCATTTATGTTTTCTCTGTCTTCATAGCTTGATAGCACCTTTCTTTTTATTCCCGAATAATGCTGTATGACATGGATCACTACGGTTCAGCTACTCAGTTTTTGAAGGGCACATTGGTTGCTTCCAAGTTGGGACGAAAGAAGCTACAAATAACTCCTGCACAGAATTTTTGTGGGGACATAAGTTTTTAATCCATTTGAGTCAATACCCAGAGATTATGATTGTGAATCCTACAGTAAATCTATGTTTAGCTTCCTGAGACGCTGCCAGACTCTTTCATGGAGGCTTTGCCATGAGCATTCCCACAAGCAGAGTGAGAGCTCCTTTATTCCACACCCTTGGCAGCCTTTGGTGTTGCTGGTGTTTTGGATTTTAGCAGAGTAGTGAATCTCAGTTTGCTTTACATTGCAACTCCCTAGTGGCGTATCATGGAGCATGTTTTCATGTTAGTCTCTATTTGAATATCTTCTCTGATGAGGTATTAGTTAGCTTGTCCACATTTTATCATCAGACTGCTTCCTTTAAGTTGTGGAGTTTTAAGAATTCTTTGCATATTTTGTATATAATTGTATCTGGTGTTTTTATAAACATTTTCTTTCAGTCTATAGTTTGTGTTTTCATTTTCTTAATAATGCCTTTCACAAAGTTCAGATTTTAATCCTATGTAGTCTCATTTTTTTTTCATAGAGCAAACTTTTTGACGTTGTACCTTAAAAGTTCTTATCGAACTTGGAGTCATTTAGAGTTTCTCCTGTGTTACCTTCTTGTTGGATAGTTCTGTGTTTTGCATTTAAGTTCGTGTTCTACTTTTAATTAATTCTGTGTCTATATTTACTTTTGTGCGTGTGAATATGCACTGTGCATTGGAAAGAATATCCTTTCTCCATTGACTTTGTTCTTTCGTCAAAGATATGATTTTGTTTTAGAAATGTCTCTCCAACACGTTGGAGTCTACCTTTGTCTTCCTCCAGAGCCCAGATGAACTAAGGTTAATGGTACAAAGTCATAGTTTGTATATGGTGGAGCGAGGGTCCCATCCTCAATTCAAAATCCTTAGTTACAAGCTGGACTGAAGAATATAACTAGGTTGTACATTATTATTTCCCTCTTCTTAGGGCTAAGCATACTTTCCACATGGGTGAAAAGAAAGAATAATGGGTCCAGAAAGAATAACGGGTTCAGCTGATGAATGAGAGCCTCGTGGGGACCTCACTCACTATTCAACGGGGTCCCGATCCTGTTAGACTTGACCTCCCAAGGGTGGCCTGGATGAAGAGAGAGTGGAAGTTTTGGTAGATATTCCTTTCACATGGCTAATATACCCAAAATGAGAAGAAGGGTAGGAGGATGCCGCCCAACACGATTTTTACCTTTCTGACTGCACTATCGCCCCCTTCCTACCTATTTAAATATCTTCCCAACTTATGCTCAAATGTAGCATACAGAGACTGAGAAGACCAACACTGGGTCCACCCTCTGGTGTCCCCAAACACTCTCTGTCCACTGCTTGACTCAGTACTTTTGTACACACCGGCTCGTGTTCCAGGACAGCTCTTCCCTCTCTAGTTCCCCAGCAAACATGACTGTCGTCTGCTCAGTTCCCCGAGACATCATCTCCCACGGGTGGCCTTCTTTGCTGTCCCTGGCTACACTGGCAGTCTCTGCCTGACGACTCTCATCACACTGCTGTCTTCGCAGTGCCCTTTGCATTGTCAGGTCCCCCGTGTTCATTTTAAAGGATGCTGAGGGCGGCGCTTGATGTGTGTCTGGTCTTCCTCCGAGGCCTGACAGAATTGTTGATTTCAGCCAAAGGCAGTGTAGCAGATCTGACCTGTGCTTTGATACCGGGCCAGTTGCATGACTGGTCAGGCCCTGTTCCTGAAGTCTCTGCCTGGGCCGAGTCCAGTGCTCTTGCTTGTGTCTGAACACCGTACCCTGAGGAGCCATGGCAGATGTTATAGTAAAGGACTCACGTCCGACATACATGTGCGCACCCATCCTGTAACTGTGCTGGTGAAAATACTTAAACTGCATTTATTCATTCAACAAGTATTAGTAACTATCTATTATATATGATACATCCTGGTAGCGCTCAGTAGGAAAAAAGGTAATCTCAGTACCCAGATGTTTTCCAGTCAGATAGGAAAAGCAGATTAGAAAGCGATTCTAGTACAGTGTCCTGAATGAAAATTCAGAGGTAAACACGAGATGCTATAGGCACCTGCAACCCAGCTGGGAGTGGAAGTTCGTGAGGAATTCACTGAACAGTCATGTTACTGTGGGATCTGAGTAGAGATCTTCTGTTAGATCTTATGGTAAAGAATAAGGGGATTTAGCTAAGTGAAAGTAGAAATGTATCTTGTATGAGTGAATTTTAATCCATTTACATTTAATGTGATTAGTAAACTATCTGGACTTTCTAAACTCACCACATATTGTGCTTTATGTTCCCCAAGTTTTAATTTTTACTTTCTTTGGTTTTCCTCTCCTTTTGCTTTATCTTTTATTAAGTGACTAAGTTTTCTTAATTATTTTCCTCATCTGTTATGGACACTACATGGGATATGATACGGGTTTATACTTCTGTTCTTTAAAGGTTAACTTTCACTGAAAAAGTCTATGCTCAGTGAAACCTAAAATTAATAAATAACTCTGTTGTCTTTTGCATAATGAAATAATTTCAACTGCTTTGAGTCCAAGTTTCTATCCCTCATATTCTCAATATTGTCAAATATTAACCTTTGTTTTACAATTTATTTCCCCAAATTATTCATTTTAGCTAATGTGTTAAGAAAATTGGTTTCAGGATGGAAGCAGAAAATGATTTTTTAAAATTATTGTTCTTTTAAGTTTTCTCTATCAAATATTTGTCCATTTCTGGATGAAATCTAGTCTAGACATACTTGCTTCTTAAGAGGTTAATGATTATTATGTTACTTCTCCCCCGACAGCAAGTCTGCATAGTTCAAGTATCATAGTTGTTATCTCTCATGGAATTTAGAACTTCCTTCTGCTCTGGCTCAGGCCGGAGTGGGGTTTGGAGCCTATGTGAAAGATGGTGTGGTCAATCCTTGTCGTTTTTTTCTGGGCCCTTGCACTGCTGCCTCCATGGCCCACATGCTGGGGTTCCTGGGTTTGGAGGCTGGTGGAGGAGGATTACAAGTCTACGGGTGACAGCTGTCTCTTGGTGGTTGACCAGATGCCCCGTTCACCCAGGGAAGCTCTGTGTGCTTGGGCCCCTCAGTTCTGGATCCCTGCTGTGGAAAGGCTGGGTCCACCACAGCCTGCCCTCCACAGGGATCTTCTCCGCCCCTCCCGGCCTTGGGCACAAGGCCTACTAGGCGCAGCTCATCTCTGGCTGCTTCTGGTGACACCCGCATCTTTCTGGCTGACTGTGTGTGCACCTCTCTTACTGTCCCTTTTCTCGCGCTGCTGTTGGAAGCACCAGGCTTTCTCTAAGTTGTTGGGGTTGTGACTGGGCTCTCAGTTCTGGTGTTTCACAAGCTCCCTGGAGCACCTGGAGTGCAGGCTTTCTGGAAAGTTCTCTGATTCCACTCAGTTACCTTGGGAAAGGAAGCACTTCTCTCCCTTATGCCACGTGGAGGGATGTGGAGCACACAGTACTCTACAGGCCTCCCGGAAGAAATTCTCTACCTCTCCTTTACAGTCTTCCTGGGCAATTTTTGTATGTTCTGATGGTGGCTCGTTTGCCAGACTCATCTCATTATTTACAATACACAAGCTTCTGGCATTTCTTGTTTTCAATTTTGGAGCTTTAGTCAAAATTCGGAGGCAGAAAAGCCCTCTTCAATATAGGAGTAGACAGTTTTACAATTAAATCTTTTCTTTACTCACCATCATTTCCTGCTTTGCTTTACTTCTCATTTAATTTTGTCCTAACTTGGCAATATCCTTAGGTAGTTGTTTCAGCGAGACTCTGAAAACCATGTGTTCTATTAGTCTTTGTCTAAAAATGTCTCTTTCTGTTGTATTTAGTGAATTATTCATCGATAGATTAACTGGGCATAGAATTGTAGATTGAATAGTAGTTTTCCATCAAAGGTACTATTTTCCCCAAATATAATATTCTCCCCTGGAATTCTTTCCTACAGCCGAGAAATCTGTTACTTTCATTACTCTTTTCTAGGTAATTGTCTTTTTTGATGTTTTTAGGCACTTTCTTTTCTTTTCTTTTTTTCTTTTTTTGGTGATGCTCACTGTGATGTTGTTAGATGTGGATTAGTTTTTATTTATCCTATTTGAGACTGTCTCAAAATAGGTATTTTTTTCCTTTCTGGAAAATTCTCAGTCATTAACTAAGGGAACGCTGATAAGGATGGCCTTGGAGAACTTCACTGACTTTGTGAAAAGAGCACCTTCTCATCATGGTTGCCCCTGTCTCCTCCTTGGTGCCATCTGTTTCCTGACCCACGTCAAGGCCCCCTCATTCAGAGCTGCTTCCCAGGCCATCCTGCAGGTGCTCGGCGTGGGGTGCCCTTCCTTACCTCGGAGCTTTGGACTGCCTCTCAGGAAAGCCGCAGGGCTCTCTCGAGTGCAGAAGGCACCGTGCTAATCTCTTAGCCCGGCCCTGTGCCGTGGCTGCTGGTATCGCATCCTCTGGTCTGTGGACGATGCGGGCCTGCGACCAGCCTGTGAGGAGTGAGCTTCCCTTGGCGTCTGCACGCGGCCCTTCCTCACCTGTGGCCAGTGCTAGAGACTGGATCCTAACTGGAAAGTGAGAGTCGAGGCTGTGTTTCAAGGCTGCTAGATTCATGTGGGTGGATCCACTCCTCTGCCCTGCCTTGTTCAGCACTGAAGATTTGTTTTCTCTGACCGGTACAGAATGCAGAAACCTATAAACACACCTGTGTTTACTGCAGACCCTTAGAACAGAACCGACCTGGGCAGCTTCAGTGCTCAATTACTCCTCCAGCTCCTCCGTTCCTCTTGATGGGTGATTTTTCCTTTTATTCTTTACAATGTGGCCAAGTGTTTTAAAAGTTGCTCTTTGTTTTTCATTATGTGCCATTAAGGTCAGAAAAAGGATCAGGTTGCTTGGGGTCAGCTGAATTCTCCATGTTGAGCACAAGTCGCCAAGGAATTTCAAAAGTGCATTTGTCTAAATTTGTTAATTGTGCGCTTTCAGAGGTAAAACGTAAGAACAGATGAGGTAGCGTATTGTCAGATTTTCTGAGGTTACTGGGAAGAAAGGAATTGTGAAAGAGGAAGTGGCAAATTTGGCTCTCGTTTTATGGTTTTTGGTATGTGCATTTAACAAATCCCACTACTCCACGCAGACGTAGCATCTTCTCTTGCAGGACGTTGTTTGGAGCTCTTCACTTGCACCTTGGAGGGGCGCCCGAGGGCCCGGCTGGCACGGGGAAGACGGAAACCACCAAGGACTTAGCCAAAGCTGTAGCCAAACAGTGTGTCGTCTTCAACTGCTCGGATGGGTTGGATTACTTGGCTTTAGGAAAATTTTTTAAGGTTTGAATTGACTCCTCATTCCTTCATAAGAGGATACTTGATCAGAGAGGAGAGTTATTTATAACGAAACATAAATGTATGCATGTAAAAGATATCCTATATCTTAAAAGTACTGTCTTAATAATCCTCCAGGGAAGTATCCTGTGTGTGTGCGCGTGTGTGTTGCTGAGACAATTATGAGTTTTAAAAAAAGCAAATCAAAATTATAATGAATAAAAAAGTCGAAGAAATACTTAAGTAATGTTTTATTTATCCTCTGTCATGATCTGTAAATGTACTATAATGATTATATAAGGAATAAATAGCAAATTGGTAGTTTGAATAACCATTATATTTCTGTGTGTTTAGAGAAATATGTGGTATATATTATTCATTTTTAGTCTAGTGATATTCTTAATGCTTTGATTTAGTCATATGCAGTAATAGCGCTGCATTTCCACATCAATGAGCACTTCTGAATTGTATGGATCCCGTCCTGACGTCAGGTCCATGCCGGAAATGGGGGTACACATTCAGTGGCATGCTTCCTACTGTCAAGAACCTCACAGTGGACCGGGAATGTAGCTCAGTGGTGTCACTGCCTGCTTGTCAAGCACAAGGTCCCGAGTTTGATCCCCGGTGCAAAAAAACAAAAACCTCACAGTCATGTAACTGTTCGAGTCTGAGACCTCGTGAACATCCTGCTCAGTGTGATTTTAATCCTTCCACTATATAATGCTTTACAGGTCAATCATGGATAAAATCTCTAGATAATGGAAACTTACTGTTCCTTGACATAGATGGACTTCATGCTCAGTCCATTGGGATTCAGCGTAATCTGCTGAGTACAAATCCTCAGCCGCCGTCATCGGCTGTGGGTGCTCATGCTCATGAAGCAGTCAGCATCTTATTAGTACAGAGTTAGTCTCCCTGGATACAATGTGTGTATGAAGTGCTATGCATCATGCCCGGCATATGACAGACAGTGGAACACACACATGCACATACACTGCATAATATGTGCTTAAGCATCTGCTGAATCTTCTGAGGTTTTTAAATATGTAAACATGGATTTGGATGGAGCTAGTGATGTTTGGATCTCCCATTTTTCCTTATGGCCCAGTGTCCCATCTTTGAAAGTTAGTGATGATTTCAGATTGCAAATGGGGACCCTGAGTTACATTAATTGACCCCTGAGGTACTCAGGCCGCAGAGCAGACAGAAGTCACTGTGGGTGGAGGACACTTACATCCCCCTCCATTGAGTCCACATGCAAAGAGCAAATAGATCAACATGTAAATAAAAAGTAAGAAAGACTTCAGAATTGCATGTCAAAATGCCAGAAAATATGCAGGAAGTACAAAAATAAATTGGAAAATTTTCCAGTTGATCAAATTCTGTTCATACAGAATAATGAATTGGTATTGAAAAAATAAGCTGTCTTTAATGATAAAGGTGAATAAACAATTTCCTTGATAGGATATTAAATCCTTGAAAAGATCAGGTGAGACGACAACATTTCAACATAATATCCCATCAGATAAAGTTGAAATTTTTCATTACTCTTTTCTCCTAGGGACTGTTATCTTGTGGAGCCTGGGCTTGCTTTGATGAGTTTAATAGAATCGATTTGGAAGTACTTTCTGTGGTTGCTCAACAGATCCTTACTATCCAAAGAGGTAACGGACCGGGCTCTGAGCACTGTGTGAAGGACAGAAGAAATATGGGGTGTGGTGAACGACACGAGCCGCATTGTGTGATATTGCTGAGTTGTTTCTTTCTCGGTTATCCACAGGCATTAATGCAGGTGCTGATATTCTAGTATTTGAAGGAGCGGAGCTAAAACTGGACCCCACGTGTGCGGTCTTTATAACAATGAACCCTGGTTATGCTGGGCGGTCGGAACTACCAGATAACCTGAAGGTATGGCATACTATGAGTGCTGCTTCCACTCCCCTTTTCCCACGATTTACAGTGTTAACATTTCATAAAAGAAAGAACTACTGCCCTAGAATTGTATGCAAAATATGCATTTAGGCATAATAATTAGAAAATTTTTCTAGATGGTAAGTTTTAAAGATTTGAATGCTTTAAAAACAAATATGTGCCCCAGGTACAATTTTCAAATTTCACAATTTTAAAGTTAGGCTGAGTATAACAAATTAGAAAACATAACAATTCTAAGATGGTACCTATTCTACTACTTACTGTATTGTATTAAATGACCGCAGTTTAAGTGCCTTTAAAAAAGACCCCAATATTTAAATCAGACAGTTGTACATAGTGGGAGTTTTTCAAGTTAATATTAAAACACGAGCCTTTTCTCATCTTTAGAAACATAGGTCATGCTATAAATCAGTTCATCCAGCTTTTCTTCCAGCTGGATACCCAACTTACCTTTAGATCTCCTACGCTATAAATAACGCCACCCTGGGCAGTTTCACTTAGGGCCTTTCTCTGTTTGCAGCGTTGCACTCTTAGCTGGAGTCCCAGGAGAGCCCTGTTGTGAAATTGCCTTCCAACGCCACCATTGCCCGCCCACACCAGTTTTCAGGTCTCACTAATGCACAGCACTAAATTTTTTGTTGTTGTTACAAAGAACAAAACACTGTCCCATCGGAGTAAACTGGAACCTCTCTTAAGAAAACAGCTGATTTGATGGTTGGTGAAGTGCAGCCCTCCACGCCTCTGACAGCCGTTCTCTGTTCTCCCCCGTGAACCGCGTGGCTGGGCGTGCTTTGGGCGCAGAGAAGACTGTTGGGGAATGAGTGGTGTGGTGGTTGACTGTGGCTCGCAGACCAGGCCTCCTGCCCCCGTTGTTCAGGCCCCGCTGTTCAATGCGGAGACCAACAGCTTCTCAGACCAAAGGGCAATTTTTCTGGAAAGTTTTTCTGACAATTTTCCACTGCAAAGACTTTTGCTCTGACTAATTGCTGCAAGGGCTTTGGGTTCCACCTCTTGCCCTTCTGTGTATTGGCTCAGATGTTTTAGTGCTTTGCCTTCCTGGAGGAAAGTGTGATTTAAAAATGAAAACTGGCAAGTCCTATCTAAGAAGCATTTTGTGACTTTCCCTTGCAATTTTCTCTTGGAAAGCCCTTCTTGGAGCAGTTATATTATCCATTCACTTATGCTCTTCTTTTATTCGGTAGACTCAACTCAAATGCATAAATATTTATGAAAGCAGGGAACTTTGAGTTCTGTGCACTCTGCATAGCTGGTCATAAAAAGCTGGGAACTGTTCTTGAGCTACTGGTGGATCTGCTAATGCCCTCTGCATACTTTTCCATGGTGCGTTGTTGGAACAGCTTTGGTGTGCCCGTGGATCTTGCGGGAACTCCTTTGCCTTCTCCATGAAGCCCAAGGCTATTCTCGGTCCCATGGCCTTTTCCTGGAGCTCCTGTTGCTCCTCCTCCTCCTGTGCTGCCTTGGTTAGAGCTGCTGCAGAGCATTTGTTTCCAAGCGTATATGGAACTAAATACCTAACAAGTCTGGAAGGAAATGGTAACATACGCAAAATAAAAAAAGAAGAGGCAACTGTGCCTCGGAAAGCGTACTACTAGTCATCGGGTTGTCCTGGAAACCTCCCTCACCTTCACAGGGCCCCTGTTTCACCGGAGTCCTGTCGACATCCTGCAGGTCCTGCCCCGCCTCTCTGCCCCCTCCACCTCCCTGGGGTGTGTGACTGTGACATCTCGTGTCTCTCCTGCTGGAGTGCACCTCACAGCTTCCGCAAGTGATCTATCACAAGAGCTCTAATCACATCTGCTCCAGACTCTCAAACCCACTGGGCTCCTTTTTGCCTACAGAATAAAGCTCAGATTTCTTAGTACAACCTCTGAGTACTTGGCGTGGGACCCACTTGCTAGGTGCCGCCTTTCCCTGCTGTTCCTGTCACCGGAGGCCTCTACCCTTGGCACGCTTAAGATATTTTAAAGTATTCTAGAGTCCGCATCAATGTCAAGCCTTGGTAGAGGACTCCTACCGGTAGGACACCATGATGGGCTCCCAAACTTCCTTTATTTCTTGTCTCCTCACCAGCAGTGTGACTGTTTCCTCACCTTCCACAACCAAATCGCTGCTGGGGCTGAGTGTGAGTAGGAATTTAAGAAATTCCTCGAATGGTTGAAGGAAAACTTATACTACACAGGTTCGGGTGTCGGACCCAAAGTAGTCATCACTTGTACTATCACAGACAGCCTGTCCTCTTTCCAGTCATTCTTGAACTTGTTTAAAAAGTAATTGTCAAGAGTCGCTATTTCCAAGATCCGGATAGCAGTTCCCTTCCCTTCTATTTTTTTCCCCCATGTAAGTAACGGTTACTTGCTTGAGTCTCTACTCCAGATTCCTTGCTCATACCATGGTTTTTGGTGTTTTGCTGTTCTTTAATGGTGACCTTATTAATAAAACAGTGATATTAGCACCTCTGACCAGTGGTTAATGCAATGCATTGGCGGGATCTTGCTTGATCTCTTGGTCCTCAAAGTTGGAAGAGTCATAATGGACACTTGGGAAATATGTTCATTTTTTCTGTCTACCTTGTGCTTTTGGCAATTCTACTAATTTCCAGAAGGTACAGTACTTACAAATTATAGTAATTCATCTGCCTTTCACTCTAGGGGGCCTCTTTTCTTCCCCTGGAATATCGTTGTTTCTCCTCTTTAATACAAAAGTTCATGTTTGGCTACATGAGCTACCGCAGTGAGCCCTGATACACACTAATATCCTAAACCTAAATTTTCACACTAATTCTTTAAAATCAGTACATTTTCTGTTTGCTTACTATCACGTGACATTTGTCTGACTCATAATATCTAAATACTCCGAGGATAAACTGTCCGATGTGAAAAGCGAAGGCATCCATCGTCGCGATCACCTTTGCCAGATCTCCAGGGTTCCTCCCGCTGTGACACTTTGCGCAGGTCTGACACAGCGACCTAGACACAGGCGCGTTCAGGGTATCCCGACAGGGACCCCTGGGCCAGCACAGTCTCGGTACTGGGCTACCGATTCACTCCGTGTGCGGAGTCAGAGCCTGGCCTCAAACCCTGTCTCCCAGCCCCAGCGAGCAGCCTGGCCGAGCCCGAATGCTCTCCCACTACGCGGAGTGGAGCACAGCATAGCTGATGCTTAACATTACGTGCACAGGTTTTATAAGGACAGTTAATTTATTATGTGGGCATAAAAGAGAACGCTTTGACTCAATGGTTTTGATATGCTCTGAGCATTATAATTTAATGATAAATTAATGATGGCAAATACAGAGGAGGGCTATTTCTGCGATGGTCTTTTTTATTTAAAAATTTTTTGAGTCCATGTCTGCAGTAGACAGTGACGGCGTTCATTGTGGGGTGTAGGTGTCTAACCCATCTCAGTGCTTTATCAGTGCCCTTCCATTCCCCTCCATCTCTTCCTATTTCCCAGAGTCTATGTCCCTGTTTCCTGCTTTCTTTTATTCTGTTCTTTAATGGATTTGTGCTTTGGGTTTCTCATGTAAGAAAAACCGTGTGCGTCTGATTTATTTCCCTCCCTACCACGGTCTCACGGGGCATCCATTTTCCTACTCGTGGCCCGAGTGCATCCTTCCTCAAGGCAGAGTGGGTGCTCCGTGGCCTGTTAGTTGCATTTTCTTTATCCTCTCCTCCGGTGATGCTCATACGGGCCGTGTCCACGACTGAGCTGTGAAAAACACCTCCCCTGTGCATCCCAGGCTCTCTTCCGGACTGTGGCCATGATGGTCCCTGACTATGCCATGATTGCGGAAATCGTCCTGTACTCCTGTGGGTTCGTCACTGCCCGGCCACTGTCGGTGAAAATCGTGGCCACCTATCGCTTGTGTTCAGAGCAGCTGTCGTCTCAGCATCACTACGACTACGGGATGCGAGCCGTGAAGTCGGTTCTCACAGCCGCTGGGAACTTGAAGGTAGAAACGTGAGGGCTTCCGGTTCGGCGCTTTCCCCTCTGTGTGCCTGCTCTGTGAGTCTTTGGGAGGAATGAGTTGCTTTCCTTAACTAGCTGAACGAAGTCAGTGGTCCTACCAAAATAATTGATGCCTTCGCACACATGAAAAGGAAATTCCATGAAACCTTACCTGTGTGCTGCTTCATGATTTGAGTACCGCCCCATAATTTAAAACACATAAAACTGGGTGCTGCCAGGGAATAAAATTGTTTACTGCTGAGAATTTATTTTTGTTTGTTTTCCTTTGAGACAGGGTCTTGCTGTGTTGCCCAGGCTGGCCGTGAACTCCTAGCAATCCCCCTGTCTCAGCCTCCCAAATGTGCAGGCGTGGGGCTTGGGACTGCTGAGAAATATTTTGAAGACTTGTAATTTATATAACCTACCTCACTTTAAAGGAAATAATGTATAATTGATAAAGGCCCTAAAACATGGTGACTTGATATAATTATCAATTGTAGACAACTGGCTTCACAGTAATCTATTTGTACTAAAACATTTGCATTTAAACCAGTCTAGTTGTGTAAAACCATATTATATTAAAAAACCTAAACTTTTTAATGACTTGCTTAATTTTTTATTGAAAGTATTTTGTGGCCCTATGAAATACAACTATATTTAAGGCAGCAAGTAGGCTCTGGTTCACAGTAAAATGTGACCTTGGTGTTTACAAAATTTTCATGCTTGTGATTTGTAGAAGATGCAGATTTAAAAATATGTGCTGCATGATTAAGGTTATTGGCATGCATTTCACCTCCTATAATGTTATCGAGAATTGTCATATATAGTCATGACATTCTGTCTCACGTTAGCCTGACATCACTTCAAGTCTTTGCTCTTTACAATAAACGGGAGTGCCTAGAAGCACCGGTTTGCATCAACCTTCCATGTCCGGCTTACTCTGCGGTCTGGTAACGGGAAAGATAATGCATTGTTCTGCCGGTGTCATCCCTGAAACCTTGACTGTGGAATCAATCGAGCTATTAAAGTCAGGCCACAGACAAATCTTGCAAATGAACCTATCATTCATTGTCAAAAGCTAATGCAGACTTGTTGAATATTTTGAAGCTATTTCTATTATACCAAGATAATAGTCTCTTGGATCACAAAGCAAGCTTGTGCCACTGATTTCCTTGTGGTCTGAGTGATCAAAGCCAGGGTTCGGGAAGGCAGGGTCAGCTCTGGCTTTGAGAGTCCAGGAGGGGCTGAGGTGGCCAAAATACAACAGCACAGATCCAGGACTTTTGTAAAGCTGAAGCCACTGAGGCAAGCTGAGGCATTTAGTAGGGAGTCGGGGAGGGGAGCTGAGAGTTCTAGCAAAGCAGTGTGTGCCAGTAGGAGAAACTCCAGATTAAGATGTTGAGAAGACTCTTCAAACTGGGTGCAATGATTCTGAGTTTGGATTTTGTTAGTTTTGTGGGTGCTGTTGTGGCCAGTTTCAGAGTAGTGAGTTCAGACTCACGGCAGTTTCTCAGTCCACTTCGGGTTTGCCGTGGATGTCTGGGGTTTTGTATCCATTTGCTTAAACACTCTCTGCATCACCAGTCAGGACAGGCGGTGTGGCCAGGTAGCTGCGTCCACCTGAGCCCGCTGGACCCTGTTGTGTTACCTGCTGGGGAACTGATGATGTGTAAACGTGAAAAGAAGGAGGGGGTTTTGTTACTATGGAAATTAAAGTCATTTTTAAAAAGAGCTTCAGTAAACATGGATGTTAGAATTACGGCTTTGAATTAGATGCAGACGAGAAAGAATGTGTCAAACTTGCAAACTTTGACATTTATGAGGGACAGTGCCGTGGACTTGCCTTGCCTTGCGAGTCTTTGGAGAGCTCCGTCCCCTTTAGAATCCGGTGGGACTCCGCAGCCCAGGTGGAGGGGAGGGTGGGGTATGGATGTGGCTTCTGACAGAGAAGGTGCAGAGCTCTTTATTCCAAGCAGAAGGTCTTGGCATCAAAATATGGGTGAAGGAGAGAAAGTTGTTTATGACTTTCAAATTTAAATCCATTTTTTTCCAAAATGATTGTCCACCTTTAATGATTTTCACTGCACCAGAACCCACTGCTGGTCCTGAAGGCCATGGATAAACCACTTCTACCCAATGGCAAGTCCCAAACTATCTTAACTTAGTGATCAGCAGCCCTTTGTTCAGTGTCTGTGAACATGTAGCTAGTTTGTCCAGGCTTTTATTACCAAGTAACAAAAATGCAACAAGTGTAAATATCCACTTTTTATAGTAGCAACCCAACAAAATGAAAAGAAATGAGAGTTCTGTGCCTGTGCCTGTTGGAACTGAGTTTGTGTGCATAGGAACCTGCAAGCAGGGTGCGTGTGCACAGCTACAGAGAGCCTTATGACTGTGTTTTCTTTCAGCTGAAATATCCAAATGAAAATGAAGAAATTTTGCTGCTAAGATCTATTATTGATGTAAACCTGCCAAAATTTCTAGCCCATGATTTACCACTCTTTGAGGTAAGAATATTCGTTATCCCAATGCATCAAAACTCTTACAAGAATATATTTGTCAGCTGTCCATGTTTTCAAAGCTCCCTACAAGAAACTTCCACTACAAAGAATGACACAGAGCCAGAGAAACATACATCATTCCTTGTTTTTATTTGAAGGGTCTTTAGCTAGCTTGGTTGCTTCGGATGACTTTCAATGACTTGAGGTTTTTAAATCATACTTTTTTAAGCTGCAGAACATAATGAGCAGGAAAATATGATGTTTGCTACAAATTCCACGACAATGTAGGCTCTGGGAAAAGTACCTGGACAGCACACCCCAGAATCCTCAGGGCAGAACAGGTACTCGACAAACATTTGTTCAGCAAATGACTGAAAAAAAAATCAATGAAAAACTCAGTTCATATCCTTAGAAGATTGAAATGACATTTATGAAATATGTTAATGTAATTTTATGTAAGAACCAAGTCTGGTAATCCTGTCATACTTAAGATTAGACTAAGGGAAACCGGAAGGTGGGACTACTAGAGTAATGACTGGAGATCCCACTTTATCCCTCTGGTCCTCTTCCTGAGGCCCGGTGGAAGCCATCCAGGGGCCAGTGGACACCTTGCTCTTGCAGGCCACCTTGTAGTTCACCCAAGCCTTGCTCTCATCTCATAAAGACCCGTGCCTGTGCCGGTGACAGGGGAAGAGATTCTGCCACCGGAACAGTCCGCTGCCTTCATTTACCTGTAGGAACCAAGCTTTGTGGTCTCCATGGGGGCATGGCCTCATGCTTGGAGCTGGCAGTGCAGATATTTTAGGAGGAAAACCAGCAAGGAAAGACATTGCATTTCCTTCCTGCGGGTTCCCTTGGCTTCCTAGGCACTGGTGCACTGTAGATTTCCTGGAGGCGCAGACGCCTCACTGCGCATGTCCTTGTGCCAGTGCAGTGCCCCGGGGAAGTGGACTGAGCAGTGTTTCTCAGGGGACATTTCCAGTTGGCACAGCCCCCACTGGGCAGGACTGTCCCGTGCACTGTGTGACATGGCCCCTCCCCTAAAAGTCCTAGACTTCTTCCATGGCGACAAGCGTAAGGACACTGCTGGAGATTTCCAGCTCCGTACCTGCAGGAGGGTGAGGGCATCGGTCTTGGTTGGGTCACTGAACACCAAGGTTGCTTGCTTCTTTCAGGGTGTGCATATGCACTTGAAAATGTGAATAGGGGTCTTTGTGTAGCGTGTGAGTGTGCGTGCGTGTGTGGTACTGGGCCTCAAACCCAGGGCCCCCTGAAGCTAAGCATGAGCTCTACCAGGTCCTATAAATAGTGCCTTCCACATAGCATTCTATTTAATGCTCAGGAACTCCCGGGGGAAGTGCCATCCTTATCCCTGCTTTACAGATGGTGAAACTGAGTCACAGAAAAGCAAAGTAACGCATTCCTGACAGGTGCGCCCAGAGCAGCAATCCACGGTGCACACTGCAGCAGGCTCTGTCCTCTCTGCCCTGCTGCCCTTTCCTCTCCTTTGCCCCAAAGAAACTTACTCTTTGATGAAGGGAGATGCACCTTCCTGCGAAGGCCTGTCAGTGACTGAATGTAGGAGCGATTGATCTGCTAACCCCGTGGTTCCAAAGCGCAGCTTGAGTGTGCCTCACAGCCAGCCCCTGTGAAGTCTCACTTTTACCTTCAGAGTAGAAAGAGTAGTGATGTTTCTCACATTGCTGTGATAACATCCACAGCCTTGCCAGTTTGTGAAGGTTAGCGCTGCAGACCTTGTAGTTAACGTTATGAATTCACATACACTGCACGCGAGGTCAGAATTCTTTCTAAACGCACATTGTGTGATCGTACGGTATTGGTTTCCTAGGGTTCCCACACAAAGTACCACACAGAGCCTTGCTCCCACCTGAGCTCCGGGGAAGGCTTCTCGCTCCCTCTTCTGGTTCCCGGCGTTGCCCTGATGTCCCCCAGGCCTCGGCTTGTGCCTGTGTCACTCCAGCTCTGCCTCTGATGCCGCGTGGTCACCCCAGTGTCTTGTGTCCAACTCTCTCCCCTTTCTCTTAGATGGACGCTTGGCCCTGGGCTGAGGACATGTCCTCCTCTAGCGTGGCATCCATGATTACAGGGACAAGATCCTGTTTTCATAGCGGCTCACACTCCAAGGTGTGGGTGGACGTGCAGTTTGGGGGGACACCACTTGACCTTACGATGAATCAGCGGAAATATCCACACTGAGTTTTGTGTGTGTGCGAGGTACGGGTTCCGGTTCCTCTGGTGTAGCCAGTTGCTCATCAGTCAGCAGTCTTTCTTTCAACCACGGAGCTGCCCTGTGTCTGTGCTGAGACACAGTTGTGGTGTGCATGACTCCTTATTTTGTTCTATGGTATTGATGTATTTGTTACTTTATACCAACATGATATCCTTCATAATAGACCCCGAAATCACGTAGTGTCATTTCTCGAACTTTTCACTTAAAAATATCATAAAACTAAATATAAAAGCTCAAGCTGTAAAACTTCTAGCAGAGAACAGGAAAAGGTTTGAGGTATTATTACTTAATGGCTTGCTCTCCATCTTGACTTCCATATTTCAGCTGATATAAAATATTGATGTGTATTTCATTTAAGTATACAAAGTGTAAAATTTCCAAATCATCTATTATCAGGGGATTACTTCAGATTTATTTCCTGGAGTGAAATTACCGAAACCAGATTACAATGACTTGCTGTCAGCTATCAAAGACAATTGTGTCTCTATGAATTTGCAAATGACCAAATTCTTCTCTGAGAAGATTCTTCAGATGTATGAGATGATGATTGTGCGTCATGGTTTTATGATTGTTGGAGAACCATTTGGAGGGAAAACCAGCGCCTACCACGTCTTAGCTGGGGCACTCAGCGATCTGTGTGAGAAGGTGTGTGTCGTTACTGCACTCATTTGTTTAGTCCCCACTTTGTGTAAGGAAGATTATATCATCATTGGCAACTTAAAATCTTGGGAAAAGTGAGCCAAGGAGAAAAGTAAAATGGAGCAAGTAGGAAGTGCAGTATGTAAAGCATGTGCCGCAAAAGTACCTTCTAACCTTTTATTTCCTTTTTCTTTTTAATTGTACAGGTAACGCTTATGCATTGTAGAAAGAAGTCTGAACATACAGAAAGTCTGAAAGTTTTCTTTTAGTACTTCTAGAAGAGTAAGAGTTTTGTTCCCCCTGGGAAGATGGATCTGTGATGAAAACTTCTATGAGGATACTAGCGGAATTAATTAGTGGGCTGTGCATCTCTGTGTATACCTGAGTCTGTGTATATGCTGTGTGCTTGTGTGTGTACATGATAGCGCTCAGATTTCTTGAAGGAATAATGCTTTGGCCTCATGTACTATGCTAAAGGAATAGGGCTGTTTTCACCTCACCAGCTAACATTGCATTCCTCCTAACCTCTCCTTGTATTCTGAATTGTTTTTCCTTCTTGTATTTCAGTGTTTGTGACCTGCATGGGATTTGTGATCCTTGTACGTTCACTAGAGTCTTCCTTTCAACCAATGTAACATTGTTTCATTCTTTTTTTTTTTTCCATTCCGAGGCTAATGCAGGGACACACGTTTTGATTTTTTCACAGGGAATCTAAGTTCAGTTATATTTATTATCATACAAACTGATATGCAGTTATTTCTGCCATCTGTTTCTTCTTCTTTTATACTTCTGTGCTCTTTCCTTTGTTTCCCCTTCTTTTCCTTCCCTTCCCTTTTTTATTTTCATTCTTTTTACCCTGTTTCCTTACTGGTTTCCTTCTGTCTTTCATTTGTTTGTGCTTTTTTTCCTATCTTGTCTCCATTATTGTTTATGCTCTAATTGTTAAGAAAATGTGGCACTGCTTGTAGAGTAAGTGAGGGGAAAGCAGGAATGTTTGTCCTGGTCACTCCTGAGGTCTAAGCAGTATATTTCCTGAATACACTCACAGTGACATTGTACATGAAGGTGCCAGCCTCCCAGCCACCGTAGAGGAGCTGTCACTCCACTCTGGCCTTTGGGATAAAATCCGTTCTTTGGTGGCAGCACCTCTGTCCTAACTAAGGAGATAATAGAGCTCTTCTATACTTCTGGATTTACAAAATGACGGTGTGAAATAATTCTTGGACACAGAGAATAGGCAAAGACCTTGAGTTTGTTTTACTGTTTAACATTATTTGTGCATCTTTTCTTTAAATTGGTAGTTTATGTCTCCAAGCTCTGGCAGTGTGGGACGAACAGCTGTGCGTGTGTGTGTGTGTGAGATTCATTATGAACATACGGACCACAGTGCACTTTTAGGGTAGTGAAGTTATTCCACATCATACTTTCATGGTGGACACACGACATGATGAGAACTCCTAGAATTATATAACCCCAAAATGATCCCCAATTTAAACTAAGACTTTGGTTAATAATAATGTATTGATATAAAGTCAGTGATGTAACCCTGCACCCCAAGTTGTTGATAATTGGAGAAACTGTTATCCAGGAGGCAGAGGAAGTATTTGGGAGCCCCTGTACTTTCTGCTCAGCCTTCCTGTAAATTTAAAACTGCTCTGGAAAGTAAAGTCTGTTAATTAAAAATTAAAAGCCTCTTTTCCCAAGGGTGTTAACCTCTTTTGTAGTAATACCATAGAAACAACTTCCAGTATTCTGCCCCAAATGGACAATTAACCAACATGAAGTTTCCACCCCACAAGAAGTACATATTTCTCTGTCTTTACAGCTTATAATTTGTTCTTAGAGGTCTTTCTGGTGCAAGGTTCAGCAAATTACAGCCCGTGGGTCACATTCAGTCCAAAGCCTCTTTTGTGTAATGGCCAATGGTGGTAACATTTTAAAAAATTCATTTAAAAAAAGAAATCTGGAAAGCCTATATTATTTACCATGTGGCCCTTTGCAAAATAAAATTGCCAGCTCCCGTTTCGTATTTCATACACATTTTGTGTAGCATTTACTAACTCCTTCCTCTATATTTTGTGAGCTTTCAAATTCTGATGTAAAGGATGCCTTAAAGTGTTGCCCTTCCGGTTTTCACTGGCACTGTAAGTAAAATGCAGTTGGGTTTTATTCCTTGCCCTGGTGTGCTGGGACCTGGTTGAATTCACTCCTCTGGAGGTTTCTTTATAGATTCCTTAGGACTTTCTGCATATGCAGTTGTGTTTTCTATGAGTAAAGATAGTTATTCTTCAAAGTACATAAATGACTGTTTTGTTTTTTTTTTTTCACTCAGGGACTGATGGAAGAAAACAAGGTCCAGATAACAGTCTTGAACCCAAAGTCTGTCACCATGGGCCAGCTGTACGGGCAGTTCGACCCAGTGTCCCATGAGTGGTCGGACGGGGTCCTCGCCGTCAGCTTCCGCGCCTTCGCCTCCTCCCCGGTGAGTACAGACCCTTCTGCATGCAGAGTTTCGCATCTCCTCAGCTTCCTCAAATAAGCATTGGTGGCAGTAGCTTGAGACTCTGTTTAAAGCCAGTCACAAGCTGGCGTGGCCATATTGCTGTGAAGAGCTGCATGAGCACCTAGGGATAATGGAGACGGTGCCCGCCGGTGCCTTTGCCCTGGGCGTGCACGGAAGAGAGGGTGGGAGACACCAACAACAGGGCAGAGAGTTTGAGCTTCGCTCTCCTGGGCTGGCTTACACAGGAGCAACTGATGGGTCCCTTGGCCCCTTCAGAAACATTCCTTTCTGCCCGCTCTTCGGCTCACCTCTGTGGCCCTGAGACGTAGATCGAGGGAGCACTGAGCTACCTCCCCAGATCTTTCATCTTCTTCTGAGACTAGGTCTCAACCTGCAGCTGTCCTGCCTCATCCTCCCAGGCCGCTGGGACTGCAGGAGTGCGCCACTGTGCTTGGGCTCCTTTGGCCACGTTTTGAGGTGCAGCGCTGCCGTCGTCATGTCCACGGGTTGTTGGATCTCCTCCGTGGCACCCTTGACAGTGGCACCCTGAGTTTTGGCACCTGCATGCAGCGTGTTGGAGAGAGACAAAGTTGCTGGGAAGGAGACAGGAAAGAGGGCTCTGCCCTGCTCCTGCCTGCCCTGCCACATTGGTGTCACCCACTCTTGACAAGAGTCCACCCTGTGAGTGTCTGTGTGGCCAGACTACGGGAGCAGGTTCCCACTAGACTGTGGTCAGACGGCAGGAAGCTTGCTCGGGTTGGTAGTCCTGGAAAAGGGGCCCAGACTGCACCATCCAGGGTATTTATGACACAATTTGCTTTATAGTTGTTTTCTCCGTTCTGGTGACCACATATCGTAGAGTGGGTTGTCTTTACTACTTCCGGAGCCCAGGGACCTCAACTCCTGAGTCCTTGTAGTCACACAAATCTCACTTCTGCATGCTGGGTGCAAAGACCCTGGGCAGTGGGCAGATGAGGACCACCACTTCCGGGTGGAGATGGTGTCCAGTCCAGAGTTCTCCGGTAATGGTGAGGAAAGAAGGATCATGAGGCCGGGGGAAGCCAGCCCAGGTCTGGGATCATCAGGACGTCTTCTCGGGCCACTGTGGATGCACTCGGGCCTGGAACCACGCAGGAAGTCTCTCAGTAATGTATAAATCTACCTCGTGTACACAGAAAGAGTCCCAAGCTGTGCCTTTTCTGGGTTCAGCTACCTAGCTTACATTGTTCAAGAACTGTGTCCCAAAATGTTGAATTTCTGGAAAGCCGTTTCCCTGGAGTCGCAGCAGCTAAGTAGGAGAGCGAATGAAAGCAGAGCCCTTCTGACTGTGAGGCACAGGGTCTCGTGGCAGGGCAGCGTGTCCCAGAGGGGCAGGTCACCGGGGTCTCCTGGCACCGCAGGGCCAGCCCGAGGGTGGGCGACCCCTCTGTGCCTCAGAGGCTAATGAGGTGAGCACAGAGGCTGAGAACACACCGAGGCGGGTTCGGATCCCCCCACTTCCGCGTGAACTCGGGTCTGCTGGAGGCGGCCCGGTACGGGAAGAATGAAGGCAGGAGAGCCGGCGTTTGTGTCCTCGGTCGGTGCCTGGCATGTCTTCATATTTGTTGAGCATTTACTGTGTTCAGAGAAGCCTGTAAATATTTTCATATTTATTAAGTGATGGTGGGACTGTGAGTGTTATGTCGGTTTGTACACCCTATTCCGTCATAAGTCAGCTCAGACCAAGAGGGGCTGTGTATGGGTGTGTTTGGTGAAACTCTATCCAACGGAGGCCTCACGCATGAATGACCAACCTATCTGAGCACAGTGACCAGCCTGTGATTCTCTAGGCACAGACAAATCTGAGTGACATTTCAGTTCAGAAATTTGAGTTCAGAAGCACCGACAAGATTAAACCGCAGTGAACAAGGGGGTGTTTTTTTGCCTTGGCCACACACGTATTGGCTCTTCTTGCAGAGATTTGGGGAATGAACGCAGGGCTGCTCTACCACGGAGCTACATCCCCAGCCCACTTTTTATTTTTTATTTTGAGACTGGATCTTGCTAAATGCCCAGGCTGGGCTGCACCTCGTCATCCCCTGTCTCGTCTCCTGAGTAGCTGAGATGACAGCTTCAATCACTGTGCCCAGCCCAGCTTCCTCAGAAATAAGTTGTGTCTGTGCGTGAACGTGTACACACACACACACACACACACTTTGTTCAAGGGTATCTCTGTACATTCCTGGTAAAATTAATTCTAAGAGCTGTATTTTTGAATTTTCAGACAATAACCCTTCCTTTATTATACCTGTGTTCTCTGTTTACATCATGCATAAAAACAGACTCCAGATAGGAAGTGGCTGATCTTCGACGGCCCGGTGGATGCAGTGTGGATTGAGAACATGAACACGGTACTGGATGACAACAAGAAGCTGTGTCTGATGAGCGGGGAGATTATCCAGATGTCCCCGCAGATGAATCTGATCTTCGAGCCCATGGATTTAGAAGTTGCCTCTCCTGCCACCGTAAGTCCTCAATTTTGACATCTGGTTAGAAATCGCAAGACGTTATATTTTTGCTCATGTAGTAGTTTTGACTTTAGACAAAAAATATTAGCATTCACTCAAAGAAGGATCTGTGAGTCTCGCAACTCAGACAGGTCTGTGGACACAAACACACCCTCACACATGTAATAAGTCTTTTCCCTCTTTCGTCTGGGCTCATTTGGTAAAGTCATGTACAGACATAGAGATCATGAAATTTCATGAAATTCACGTTTGCCCCCAAGACCTTTCTGAAGATTGTAAGGGATGGATGTGCCACCTCATCTTGTCCTGACTCCCTGTTTCCCTTCCCTGCCCTGTGTTCCTCAGAGATCAGGCGGAGAGGGTTTCCTTTCCTTACCTCGACTCTGCGGATGGGCACCGTGGCCCGGGAGCAGTGGCCTCCCCAGCCACACAGCGTGTAGTGTGGTAGGAACCACACGAAGGCAGCTCCTCTGCAACAGACTGGCCCAAGAAAGGAGGATCTTAGTTTTTGAAAGCCGCAGAGCTGAAAAGCATCTCTAGCTAGCGGGGTAGGATCAGGTCAGGGTCACGTGGCCACCAGCCTCCTCCTCCTCCTCCCGTGAGAAGCCCACTGTGGGGCCCACTAGGACATCAGCCTCTCCCGAGCTCCTGTCCCTGTCAGCCTGGGCCCACAGCGTGGGGTGCAGAACTCACCTGCTGCATGTGGAGCAGCCCACCCGTGTGTAACCTGCTCCCCTGTGTGTGCCACCTTGATGATCAGCTGTGCTCGTCCTTGCAGGTTTCCAGGTGCGGCATGATTTACATGGAACCTCACATGCTGGGCTGGAGGCCGCTCATGCTGTCCTGGTTAAATCTGTTACCCGCTTCAGTCAGCGCCATCCAGAAGGAATTCTTAACAGGCCTGTTTGACAGGATGGTCCCCGTGTCTGTAGAATTTATTAGAAGACACACGAAGGTAAGAGAAAGGAAGCTTAAGGTTAAAATGTGAAAGGTGAATGAGGTTAACCAGATACATCAATTTAATATTTCTTTACATCCTCGACCGACAGACAACATATTTCTCAGCCGATTCTTTTTGTAAGGCCGTGTCTGCATTACGTAATGGTTAAGGGGAGCAGTACAGGGACCGAACACATCTTAGCTCTTTTCTCATCCCCCGCTCTCCCATCCCTTCCAACTCTTGGTCCCCTCCTATTTGCAAAACTGATCTTTTTTTCTTTCTGATTAAAATGAAAAGACTTTAATTTATATCATTATTCTCCACAATATTTTAAATGAAGCATCTCAGAATTTGAGAAAATGTTATTGGTGTTAGTCTTTTTTTCTCTTAAAAAAAACCCCTCAAATAGTCACATAATCCTGTCTCAGTAAAAATATCCCAAAATGTTATCTCTTCTATCTGATGGACTAGTGTATTTTACCCTTGATCTTAGCCAAAAGGCCCAGACGTGATGGACTAGTGTATTTTAAATTTCCATTTTTATAAGTGCCTTTGTTTTCTAAATTACCTGAAACAATCCAGTCCCTGGTAGAAGGATTGGACCGAGGTCCTTGAGCAGGCTCATCCATTACTCTTTTTCTCTCTTCCAAAACTCCTGAGGTAGGCTGGATAGAAAGGCAGAGGAAGAAAAGTGGCCCTGGGAATCGAACTCGCCTACCTCTGAGAGCAGAGGTATGAAGAGCACCGTACGCTCTTCGACGCTCCTGCAGGAAGTTATGGCGTAGCTTGACTTCTCTTCTGAGAGATCTTCCAGAATGACTGGCTCTCCAGTAAATATAGGAAAGTAGGGCTGATATTTTTCTCGCTGTTGGAAATGTAATAGGAAACCTTAAGAAGTTTGGCTCAAGAAAGATACAGATTTTGGAAGAAGGAGTTTACAGCCATGCTAATGTGGATTACTCGGGTGGGGGGCAAACCCAGAGGGAAAGGGTAGCAAAGGCTGCATTGTCAGGTACACCATGATTTAGACAAGAGAGGCGGAGACGATGAAGCCGCCCGGTGAGGGCAGCAGAGGGCTGATGCACGTCCCTGTGACGTGGTGGCTGGGGGCACGGAGACCCTCAGTATGGACGCTGGACTGGGGAGAGCCGGCGCCACAGGGCAGGTGTGACGGGAAAATGGGTGCTGACCACTCTTTCGAGAAGCTTGCCTGTAACCAAAGTACACGAACTCAACTGGTTCCCGAGGGCCGGTTGTAACTCAGGTTGGTCAGTAAGGCTCAGGCTCCTCTACCTGGCCTTCAGAGTCTCTCTCCTGTGCACAGGCAGAGCTCAGTGTCCTCAGAGAGACTCTGGCCCCGGATTTCTCAGTGAACCTCACACGGAAGAGGATGTTGTCATGTTCCTCCCAGAGCTCTGTCAGGTTAAGTCTGTATCTGAGGCCATCTGAAAGCCCAAGTGGCAGGCATTTGGGTTGTAACTCAAGACTCTGTTCCTAAGTTAAAACTAAAATTCTGGTTGTAACCCAAGTTGTTCGTATGTCAGGCCAGTCATACCTTGAAGGTCCAATGTATGTTGAACATATTAAGTAATCAGGTCCAGAAAGTTAGACATTAATAGAGGAAGGCCATAATTAAATAGCCTATAGGACTTTTGTTCCTTTTTTCTGAACACTGTCAGAATTTGGGTATTACAAATAAATAATTGGTTTGCCCACGTCACTGGAACTTGTACTTTCTGTAGCGAAATAGAAAAGTTTAATGAAAGCTTTCTGAAATGTGCTCTTTTTTAGGGCTGGGGATTTAGCTCAGTGGTGCCGCTGCCTGCCCCACAATTGCAAGGTCCTGAGTTTGATCCCCAGTACCAAAAAAAAAAAAAGATTTGCTCATGAATGTACCCCCCCCTAATTACAAAGGCAGGCTTGGTGGCACAAACCTGTGATCACAGCCACTTGGGAGGCTGAAGCAGGACAAGTTCAAGTTCAGTGCAGCCTAAGCAATGTAGCCAGAGTTTATCTCAAAATTTTTTAAAAATTGAAGAGGTTTTAGGAATGTTGCTGTGTTTAGATACTTTTCTCCTGTTGCTGAGACAAAACACCCACCAGCCAAAGTTAAGGGGGAAAGGTTTCTTTGGCTCACAGTCTGTAGAGGTTTCGGTCCATAATCGGCTGGCTCCAAGGCAGGGTGGCCCATGGCAGAAGGGCGTCACAGAGGAGAAACAGCTCATGACACCCACACGGTAGCAAAGGGAACCTTGCCAGCGTCTTTCTGCCCCTTTATCTTATCCAGACCACTGGGACTAGGGTGGTGCCGGGCCAGTCAGTGGACTGGCTTAGTAATCACAGGCCCTTCATCCCAGCGTCACGCACTCCAGATCCAGCCGTATATGACTGCCTGAGGCTCTGGGGGGGCCCCGAGACCCAAACCTGCCTATAGATCTGTGGTAGAGAGTGCTTGACGAGTGTACAGACGGTATGGGGTATAGAATTAATCCCCAATGTGACCAGCAAAAAAATAAGAAGTTATAGCTCCTATGACGTGCCGTAGCCCTGAGTATCCATCTCCTTTGCACTGATAACTGTTTGTATTTTGTGCCCTGTCCTCAGCCACAGACTCAGCCATTTTTGCCCCCTACTGCTCCTAGAGCCAGGGGCTGAGAACAGGAAGCCTGCTGTTCCCAGCCCCCCTAGTTGGTGTCAGAGAGGTTAGGGTTTGTGCGACCCTCAGGGCCAGACAGAAGCGGGTGCCGCTGACCGAGGCTCATGACAACCTGCAGCAATGGGCTGCGTGGCCCCAGGAGATGTGCCTGTCTCTTCACCTCTGTGCACTGTCACCCTGGTGTCAAAGAGCGAAGCACACGGCCCCTGTGGCGCTCCTGTGGTACTTCTGTAGACCTGGGGACTGGGAATGTACTTCCTAGGGTGGGTTACCTGGAGTCACTGCTGTGCTTGTAAGCATGTTCTTGAGATGGATTTTATTCATTAAGCATTGTCAGTATGCAAAATGATTGCCTACCCTGAAAGACTCTGAGTGCTTTGATTTATGGAGTTAGTCCAGAGCATAGGACTGGTATCTTTGATTAAACTAACTAAACATGTATCAGTAATATTTTTTTTTAACTTGAGAATTGATATGACAGGTCAAGGATCCTCATTTCCTAGCGTGAAATTCCATGGGAGGGAAGACCTGCTTGGTTTCCACAGACAATAAGAACTATCCTAGCGATTCTTCAAGGTACTTGCAGCTGGAAGACTCAGACGAGTTCCAAAAACCCTGCTGATGCCTCTTTGTCACATGCCTGATTTAAAGTTGTCTTGTTCGGTTTTTGTCTGACTTTTCAGGAATTATCTCCTACTACAGATACTAACTTGGTCCGATCCTTAATGAATCTAATTGACTGCTTTATGGATGTTTTTGCTGATGAAGCCAAAGAGAAAGAGAGAAATGACCGAGAAGTTTACTCTCTGCTTGAGGTGGGACCTGCGGCCTTACCTCCCTCCAAACCATAATGACGTATTACTTTTCCCCTTAATTTACTTCCTTTTTTTTTTTTTCTTTTTGGTACCAGGGATTGAACTTGGGTCCTTGCGCTTGCAAGGCAGGCCACCGAACCGCTGAGCTAAATCCCCGGCCCTATTTACTTTTTAAATGAGAACAAATTTAAATACATGTTTATAGGAGGGTGGGTGTGTGGATGGGCATCGCTGTGTATTTAGGTGGAGGAAAGCAAGAAAACAGTAGTCTTAAGTGGATTTTTCAAATAGAAATTCATATATGAATAGACTACAAAAACACTAGTGAGTAGTAATTCCCAGAGTAGTTCCTGTAATGTGGTCACTGTGGAACTCCTGTAGCTTGTATTTTATGAAATAACTTTTAATTTGAGGAAAAGTAGATGTCTAAAAGAAACAGTCTATGAGAAAAGTACTTGGGGAGCAGGGTTGAAACAGAGTCTGGAACTTTTCAGAATGTAGTCAGGGCTCTGTTGGCTTTAGCGTTTTAAAGCAGCTTTGATTTTCAAACAAGCAGCCTGATTTTCTCTCCCGTGGTGGCCTTGTCTGCCCTGCTCCCTCTGCCTGGGTCTGGTGAGAAGAAAGCTGGTGTCTTTGGCCTGCAGGATGGCAATTTTAGTTTCTATAATTGATGCTCAGATACTGTTGTGAATAAGAGAATAGAAGCTGGGGCCAGAGATTTAGCTCAGTGGTTCCACTGCCTGCCTCTCAAGTGCAAGGTCCTGAGTTTGATCCCTGGTACCAAAAAAAAGAAATAGAATAGAAGTTGGTTCTACTTAAAATAAACCCAGCATAGCAAAATTTAAATAAAAAATGTATATTATAGATATTGCCTTATCAAAAAGTGCCCCAAACCTTAATAAAGTTATCTCGATATTCCTTTTAATATCAAGCTCCGTATATGTTAAACACACACACACACACACACACACACATTTAAAATACCGTGCACTTTACTATATTAATCATTCTAAATTTTGACATGGCAGCTAGGATTTACACTTTGCTTGTATTGTCTTTAAGATTTTCTAAGCCATGCAATTTGAAAAAGTAGCCAGCATTGTTCCAAAGTCTCGTGTATTTCCTCTCAGACACTCCCGGTGTGCTGCGGGCTGGGCTACGGCTCCTCTCTGACTGCTCTCTCTTCCCATCTCCCCGATGCAGGGCATTTTTATTTTCTCGTTGATCTGGTCCATTGGTGCTTCCTGTACAGATGATGATCGGCTGAAATTTAATAAGATTCTCCGAGAACTCATGGAAGGCCCAATTTCAGAACTAACTCGAAATAGGTTCAAATTACAGAGCGGAGCAGAACAAACATCCTCCAAAGCATTGACTGTCCCATTTCCTGAGAAAGGAACAATTTATGATTATCAGTTTGTCCCCGAGGTAAGGGTGGCAAGGTACTCGTTCGAAAAGATTGCCAGAAATATGGAAAGGTATGATTTTCTTCACCGGTTCTAGAATTTGCAGTGCAGTTTTCACACTGATATTAGTTCAGCGCCCTCGAAAATGTCTCCTCTGCCCCAGGAGACGCAGGATGAGTAAAGCGCAGTCCTGCCCTCGGTGAGTGGCATCCTCCTCCTCGGATGACGACAGCAGTCGTGTGACACTGTGGGCCAGGGGCCAGCGCTGGGCCTGCATGAGACACACAGGGTACTGGTGGGGCAGCTTGGGTGGATGACATAGGAAAGGAGGATGGAGGAAAGTGATGTTTTTCTATGGAGAAAATTAGCATATTTTGGAAACTTCCACTGTCCAGGAAAATTAAGATTTTTCATTCACAGGCCAATTGGATGTAAAGATATAACAAAATATTAACTCATAATAATCACAAAGTTAGGAATTGCTATTACGTAGATTCGTAACACTGCAGTGTTAAGTGTAGTTAGGACTGTTGGGCTGTACACGTACAAGGGGTTGAGGACATTATGTTTATATTTCAATTATTTTTATAAAAATCTTGCTTGAAATTATAAACCGACATTATAAATATCATAAAAATCAAGCAATATGCCATTGATCTTCTCTGGAGAAAATTCTATCTTTGTTAACATGGATTGAATAAAGCTCTTTATTCTTTAATCCATCGATCAAAGTCAGATTCTCTCAGTGCTGTTAGAGAATGTAACATTTGTTACAACATTCATCATTGGGTTTGCATAAGCAGTGGTTGCAGGGCATCAAAATATCGCAGTACTTATTCTGTTACTGTTCATGTAAGAGCCACGCCCTTTTCTAATTTACTTATACAATTTAACTTTAAATTGTTAAATGTTTTGTAGAACAAAACGTGTAACTCTCAGGGTGGATTGGTCTTGGTCGTTTCTGCGGTGACAGAGAAGGACAGAGTGTGTTCTAACCTTCACATTCTGGCTGTTTACCGTGAACAGGGAATAGGAAGGTGGGAGCCATGGATAAAGAAACTGGAAGACGCCCCTCCAATCCCTAGAGACGTACTGTTCAATGAAATCATTGTGCCAACTTTGGACACAGTTCGATATTCTGTGTTAATGAATTTGCTGACGACCCATCAAAAGCCTTCCATATTTGTGGGGCCAACCGGAACCGGAAAGAGTTCTTACATAACTGTAAGTATTCTAGAAGTCTGCACATTAAAGTGTTTACAATATTGCTAAGCATGCTATTTATTAACTAGTAGGCTTAGATGATTTTTAACACATACTCAGGTATTTTGCATGTGACACTGTCGCATGATGATACCATTTGGTATCATCACATTATTGTCCCATTTGTTTTTGTATTTTAATAAGAATAGCTTTTCGGGGTGAAAATTATATCTCTGTAAAAGTGTGTTTTAGTTCATGGCACTTGATATTAAATTTCCACAGTATTTTATATCTGAAGGATTGCTGTGCAGCTGTAAGACCAACTTCTCTCCTGATTTCTGGAGTCAGTCTTCAGCCAGTAGTACAGAAAACTTATCTGAATCTCAGACATGTGATATTTCCTCACTACAGTGAGCCGCTCAGAATAGTTTATTTTAAAAGAAGAGTAGAATTGCCTGTTTTCAAAGCATTTTTCTCTTGAAATAATCTCTTGCTTACATTTGAATTTGGTAGTCATGAAAACAGATATTTTAATCACAAAAACCAGGAAAATATATTTCTATCTTTATTTTACACTTTGCTTTTCCTACTTTTTGTGGTTATAGATATGAGCAAAACTCCTGGAAGGTTTGAAAGAGCATCCATTTTACAGTGTGCTCATTATATCTAAGAGAAAATAAAATTTAAAGCAGCTCTCACTGGGCTGGTGACAGGCGGAAGAGTCAGCCCTGATCCCACAGCCAGGCTTTCAGACTTTTCACTTGTTTAATTATGACAGTGTTCAGCACATGATGGTATTATGAGAGGGGGACTTGTCTGAAGTATTTTACCACCCAATACTTTGGGTTAATAATGTAGTATCCTGTAAACCATAAAGGAGCATCCTGGAAGCAGTTAATGTGCATAAGGTTTGGAAAAGACAAAAAAATATTCACCTTTGCTCTTTCTTTTATCCCTGTGTGTACAGAGTAGGTAGTACTCATTAAGAACACGTGATTTACTCAAGACTTTCTGGCAAATTTGCCCTTAATGAGGGAACAAATATGCCCTGGAGGGAACTGCGGGGTGGGGGGGGCAGCAGGAGGAGGAGGAAGAGGAGGAGGAGAGGAGGAAAAAAGCAGTAGCATCTTTTGAAGGGCTCCTTGGAAAATTCTGACATAGCCCCTTCCTGACACACATCTTTATTATGAATGACTGGAGTGCTCTCTGCTCTCCAGTGAATTTCATTTTGAAAATTAAGTCATGCAATTTAAGCCTTCTAACTTATAGAAAGATAACTTGGTATTTAAGTGAAAAGACACTTTCATCACTTTGCATTGTTATTACATGGAAGGTTGAATTCGAGTCTTGTCAACAGCGATGCTTACTGTTTATTATGAAATGTGAGAACAATTTCAACCCTGACTCATTGTTTCCTTTTATGTAGAATTTTCTTTTAAATCATCTCAATAAGGAAATCTACAAACCTCTGATCATCAACTTCTCGGCACAAACTACAGCAGCTCAAACCCAGAATATTATTATGTCAAAATTGGACAAAAGAAGAAAGGGAGTTTTTGGGCCTCCATTGGGCAAGATAATGGTAACAGTTTTCTTCTTCTATATCTATAATAAAATATGGTTCTACTCATGCATGTTACTGCACTCAGAACAAGGAAACCAAATATTCTGAGAACTGCTTTTTTGTTGGTTTTTTTAATCACAAATTTGGATTTTAAAATTTCCTGAAACTGGTTGTATTACTCAAGTTCTCATTGCTGGGACAAAATACCCAATACCCGAAGTTCAAAGAGGAGAGATTTATTTGGCACATGGTTTCACAAGGTTCAGGCCATGGTCAGCTGGCTCCAAGGCATGAACGACATGGTGGAGGAAAGTTGCTCAACCTGTGGCAGCCAGGGAGCAGAGAGAGAGGGGAGGAGGTGGGGACGGGAATGCAGCCCTCTGGGTCGCCTCCGGTGACCACCTGTTCTGATCAGGCCCAGCCTCTTCATAGGACCCTCAGCTATGAACTCATCAGTGGATTAATTCACAGATGAGTATAGCACCTCTGCGATCTAATCACTTTCCAAAACCCCAGCTCGGAACACATGGGAGTTTGGGGGACATTTTATTTATTTATTTATTTGTTTATTTATTTATTATTATTATTATTTTTGGTACGGGGGAT